AAGCAGCTTCTGCTTTCGCTCTGAGTCAGCCCCAGCGGGAGGGCGGTGGGTGGAAGGCAGCCAGCGGTGGGAAAGGATGGGGACCCGGCCAGCGCCACGGTGTAGGCACCCCGCCCTGGGGGACGTGTCCCACGCTGGGGATGCATCCCACTGTCCCTTGGTCCAGAGGGGCAGAAACAAAGCACGCAGGACAGCGGCTCCAACCGGGATGCCTGTTATGCCTGGGAAGGCAAAAGACGTTAGCATCCCGGAAAAAACACACCCAGCTCTTGCTGAGCCGGAGCCGTCCCCATGCCAGGGGCAGCCCCGGCTTGGTCCTTGCCTGGAGGGGACCCTGGCGAGGGTCCGTCCCAGTGCACAGGCAGTGGCTTTGCTGGCTCCGAGCAGGCAGCACAGCCAGCCAGGGCATGCCCAGGCATTGGGTTTCCCAGCGGGCACTGCCAGGGCACCTGCTGGGGACACGTCCCCATCGGTCACCGAGAGAAGCAGGAAGGTGGTGGGAGGCCCAGGGCAGACGATGGAGTAGCCGGAAGGGGATGGAGAGGGAGAAGAGGGGCTGAAGGGCAGGAAGGTCGGAGGGAGCAGGGCAAGGGGTGGATGGCCCCGGCAGCTCTCCACAGTTCGACTCCACTTTTCCTGTCTGGAAAGCGGGACCGGCGGCAGGGACAAACGCCGGGAGCAGCTGGTACCCGGGTGAGCCCTTGATCCCCTGCCCGTAGCACAGGGTGCGCTGCCCATCACCAACCAGCAGCAGCAGAAGCCACGGAGCTGGGCTGATCCTGACCCCGGCTGCAGCCCCCAGCTCCATGGGGGAGCCCAAAGCACTGACCCGGGGTCGAGCAAGGAACGCCGGGAAAAGGAACCGATTTCCCAAAGGAAACTCTACCTGTGCTCTGAAAACACTGCGACCCTGCCCCTGCCTCCTTGGAGTGGGGGAAGATGCTGATCCCCCTTCGTTACGGGATGGCACCCTGAAGCCAGAGCAGCTCTTGGAGTGAAAACCTCCAGGGGTGCTGGAGAGCAGTGGGCTCCATCAGCGCCTGGGGGCTGCCCAGGCCCCAGCCGTGCTCCAGCACCGCACACCAGACCCTCTGCTGGGACAACGTGCAGGGCCGGAGCCAGGGAATTAAATCTCCCTTCAAAATATCTCTGCTGCTATTTAGCGACGCGGTTATTTCTGGACCTTTCTTGCTTTTCTTCTGGGGGTGTTATTTCATCAAGAGCCCAAAACACTCCCCCCGTGCCAGGGTGCCACTCGGGGGTGGCTCCAGCCAGAGGATACCCGGTGGCACCCAGAGCTGACCTGACCCTTGCTTGTCCCTCACAGGACTTTGCATGGCCCTGAGCTGTCCCTGTCCCCACGGG